CACAAGTTTTTCCACGAGCGTGGCCTGTCACGTTGAGCACGTGATAGGTCCGTGGAAAAGCTCGCCAGCAGAGCGCCCTGGGATTACGTCACACTATTGCGCTAGAATGCAGAATTGTGGCGACGACTTGGCTGGCCCTGAGGGCCTGGGCCGGAGTAACAATATCGAGCGGTGATCACAGTGTAAACAAGAACCAAACATGCCTAATAATGCTAGAGAAAAGATTTCAGCCTTTTCCCTGGGAGTTGCTTTTGGGATTGTCATCGTCACGGTGTTAAATCGCTTCAACGAAGAGAAAGCTATACACAAACATTTATTTCCGGAAGAAAATTATACATTCGACGATATCACGCGTCAACTTATTCACAGGGACAGTAACAAGTTTATAGTCGAGTCACCTGTGGATTTTGATGCCGATATGAAAGACCATCACCACCATCTTTTTCTGAACAAAAAGGCTGAAGAGGAACAGAAAAGAATACGGATTTTATGCTGGGTAATGACAAGTCCTAAAACGTTGCCCATCAAAGGCAAACCGGTGAAGGAAACTTGGGGAAAACGGTGCACCCTTCTTTTGTTCATGAGCTCTCAAGCGGACCCAAGCTTTCCTGCGATTGGACTTGATGTTAAAGAAGGTCGTGAAAACTTGTGGTCAAAAACCCGTGCAGCTTGGGATTACATTTACGATCACCACCTTGACGACGCGGACTGGTTTATTAAAGCAGACGATGATACCTTTGTGGTCATTGAAAATCTTCGCCATCTGGTCTCAAAACTAAACCCTGAAGAACCTCACTACCTGGGGAGGCATTTCAAGCCGTTTTTTAACAGCGGAGGAGCTGGTTATGTGTTCAGTCGAGAAACGGTTCGGAGATTTCAGAAAGCACTGGGGGATACCTCAGTTTGTAAACCGGAAGGCTCTGCGGAGGATGTAGAAGTTGGAAAATGTCTGCATGCAATGGGTGTCAAACCTGATTACACCAGGGACCCCAGCGGACGAGAAACATTCATGCCGCTTCCCCCGGAACATCACCTAATTCCCGGATATCTTCCCAAAGATTTTTGGCTTTGGTCAATGGATGAAAATCCATATAAAGAAGGACCCGAGTGTTGTTCTGATCATGCCGTGACATTCCACTATATCAAACCAAACTATATGTATGTGTTGGAGTACTTTGTGTATCATCTCAGGCCGTATGGAATAATTCATGATGACCTCTCTTCATCTGTTGAAAATTCTGAGGAAACCAAAGGAATTATTTAAAACTGAATAAACTTGGACTTAGCCGTAGCAAGCGCTCCGGTACGTACGAGCGGAACGAAATCAGGCCGCGCGAATGAGCCTTTTCGCATTCAAGCCACGCAAAAAATGGGGCGAGAGCAATTCGGGCCGCGCGAATAGTGATGAGCCGAGCAAAAAGATCGAAGAAGTGGGGGTGGGGGTGGGGAATAAGGTGGCTCAATGGGCTAAATATGGCTCCTGATATTACTAAAAGTATCATAATTTTGAAAATCCTTTTCTTGGCTTATAGGCATTGCATGCCTAAGTAAACTCTTTCTTGATATTTTTCGTCTCCTCCTATCTGATAATATTTATGTAGTTTTCACATGCACAGCAGTGAATTAATAAGTTTTTTATGGTTACCATGGAAACAGTATTGTTTACGCTTCACTTACCGTTAGTCGACAATTGTTGAAAAACTGATGAGCACAAGTATAGGACAAAGCTACAAGTTTCAAATAATTAATAACTCAGTCTGTGCGATTTTGTATGTGACTAAATCAACGCTTGCAATCTTATGCTAACAGGAGCCATAATCGGGAATGGAGACCGTAAGCGCGCGCCATTTCTAGTATTGGGATATTATATGAGTTCGATGTAAGGCTGTTGCCCACAGTGTAGCTAGAGCGGCAAATCAGATCATCAAGACTCACGAGAAGAAGCTAAAAAACCCCGCAAGGAATTCTGTTCTGCCTTTCACTTCAAGGGAAGTTGTTACAAACCTGTCTTCGTTTGTTCTCACCGCAGAGCAGCTAGATGCGCTCAAATTTGGACTGACACACTCAATATGTCCACCATCGATTAACAAGACTGACATCTTCACGTGCTTTGAACTGATTAGTCAAAGAATGACCAGAAATCTCAAAGACAGCAAGGACACTGGAAAACTAGTTGCGGAACTGTCTCACCTGGCTCACACTTACGTGTCCGCATATCGTCCCACAACGACTGAGCTCAAAAAGCACGGATTTCTCAAAAAACTTACGAAAGAACAAGGACATTGTAATTTTGCAACCAGACAAAGGAAACGGCGTAGTAGTTTTAGATAGAACTGCGTATGATAGAGGTATTTTAAAAATAATCAATGATACATCAAAGTTTAAACCCCNCAACCAGACAAAGGAAACGGCGTAGTAGTTTTAGATAGAACTGCGTATGATAGAGGTATTTTAAAAATAATCAATGATACATCAAAGTTTAAACCCCTTAGCAATGACCCCACCCTAAATCGGGAAGGGAAATTACAGCGTTGTCTCAGGGATTTAAAGAAAAAGGGCCATTTAGATCAAGAGATATATGACGCTATATATCCGAGTGGGTCACAACCTGCTAGGATATACGGTCTACCCAAGATGCACAAACCGCGGGCAACTCTACACCTCCTTTTCGTCCGATTGTCTCTTCCATTAGGACATACAATTACAACCTGGCCAAATTTTTTAGTAATCTTCTCCAGCCGCACATTCCCTCTGAATATGTTGCTTCAGACACGTTCACTTTTGCATGTTCGTGAAATCAACGGCTTGTCCATGGAGGGGAAGTTTATGGTTTCGTTTGATGTAGAAACTGAAGTTTGTTTACCAACATTCCTTTGAGTGAATGTATAGACCTGGCGGTCGACTACATTACCAAAGGCAACCCTGGCATCAAACTAAGCGCTTCTGACCTGAAAAGACTTTTCCTATTTGCCACCGCTGAAACCCATTTCATTTTCAAGGGTACATATTACGATCAGGTTGATGGTGTAGCCATGGGTTCCCCCCTAGCCCCCGTTCTTGCTAATCTTTTCATGGGTCACCACGAGAAGATCTGGTTGGAACAGTATAGGGATTCCCAGGTTTTATTCTACCGTCGTTATGTGGACGACACTTTTTGCCTTTTCAACTCGGAATGGGATGCTGACCTTTTCTTTAATTTCATTAACAATCAACATCCTAATCTTCATTTCACTATGGAGAGGGAGAGTAACCAGGTTCTTCCTTTTCTTGATGTGCTATTAAACAACAAATCCCCACAATTCCCTGTCACCAACGTATACCGCAAAAAGACCTTCACGGGCTTGCTTACCAATTTTTTAAGCTTTACACCCCTTTGCTACAAAATGGGGCTGGTTAAAACGCTCATTGACAGGACCTTTAAGATCAACAACACGTGGTTGGGT